ATATTGGTGTTAATGAGAGTTTATTCACCATAATGAAAGAAATTTGGACACAAATGAATGTTTATTTTCTGTAAATGAACAGCAAAAGGTGTAATAGCTTCCTTCGGTGATTATATAATATAGGAACTAACGTATATTATACATGCTTTTCATGTAACTTGAAGTTGTAACAAAATCATTTTCTGCTAAAGTTTACAATTGTCGGACCAATTGTAGACTCACTCAGGGGCGGGTGTGAGGGGTGCACTGGGTGAGTAGCCATTCCCTTTTTTGGGGAAGTGAACCATGGAAAAAATTGAAAATGATTGTTTATATTTTTGCAAATGCTCTGGACAGTACCTCATTGTAATTTCTACTTTGTGGCAATTTGCTAATATTTCTGGTATAACAGTTTTCAATTAGGTTGTAGTTCTGAAATTGCAATATTTTGGGAGCATGCCCCATTGATTATGCAACCTAAAGTTACCAGCCCCCCGTCCACCCATTTTCACTTTTTACGCGATCTTCTCTTTTCTAAATTTGAAAACAATTATGATACCATTTCTTAGATTTGCCAATCTTCCACTGAATTTGACTATACAAAGGCATATAAAAACATCTTGAACGTCGGAAAAAAAAACAGACGAAATAAACGTACGTTGCATAATATTGTCATCATAGAGACCACTAAATTACAAAAACCATGCTACATTTAGGCTGTTTACAGCTCTCTATTTTCTATAGAGCGGATGTGAAGAGTTCTATGCGATATGCTACAAGCTATTGGAACATCTACTTCAGTACGTATACTGTATTACGCGCAGCCACGAGAATACGTCCATCTGGCGCTGTTGCTATTCCAAAAGGACTTGATAAACGAGTGATAGTTTTTCCTGTAAAACGACCGTCTAAGGAAAACTGCTGAACTCGGTTATTGTTATAATCACATACAAGAAAATTATTGGAGCTGTCTAGGATCATACCATTAGGCGAGTTAAAGTGTCCATCTTGTTTGCCTTTCTTCCCAAACTTGTACAAGAAAGTTCCTGACTGATCGAAAACTTTAATGCAACTATTACCGCAATCATTTACTAGGAACATGTTTTTGTAAGGAATGCAGCTTGTCGGTTTGTTGAGTTTCTCTGGGCCACTGTCTCCAAATGAGAAAATAGTTTCTCCTTCTTGTGACAACACTTGTATCCTATGATTGCCGTTCTCGGTTACAACAATGTGTCCTTCATCATCTAAACAAACGTCAACTGGATTCTTAAACTCTCCTTTCCCTGCACTACACTTTCCAAAGCATTTCATAACAGTTCCTGTCTGGATATTTATTTGTTGTATTCTATGATGCAGTTCATCAGCAATTAGAATCTCGTTGTCGTTTAGAAACGAAACACCATTTGGTTGTAAAAAGTGTCTAGAATTTGCTGCTGTACCACCAATTTTCCTTGAACAGTTACCATCTCTATCAAATACATAAACACAGTGGCCCTCATTATCTGGCAGAACTATCTTGTCTTCTGTGTTAACAGCGATTCCAACCAACCTTCGAGGCACGTCTCCTGGGAAGAATTTTAAGTCCAACTCGCCGAGGACATCAAGTTCACGCTCTTTCACTAGCACAGTAAAAGGACAGGTTGGAAGTTTATCGCCATTGATCTTCACTTCAATGCTGTAGGCGCCCGGTACTTTGGGAGTAAATTTCAGATCAAGACTACCGTCCTCTTTCTCACTAACAATCAAATTTGTAACATCTTTAGCGGGTTCAATTAGAACTTTAACTTGATCTTTCAGATTAGCCTGGTTACTCATCTTCCCCTCCGACGTTTTGGGGCATAACGTAAACTCTGCCTCTACACCAGCCTGAAAAAATTGCTCCACTCCTTCAAGCGTTGATCGATTTGCGTCTGCTTTTGGGGTTGTCTCAATAAAACCAAATTTCAAGTCCTCTGTAGAAGCAGCGGTAAATTTGACGAATGAGGTCTCATCATGTTTTGGATCTTCAGTTTCACGCAACACTTCAAATCGCTGCTTCAAAGTTTCCTTGTTCCTCATGATATCTGAGCTTGAGCTTCTTTCTGTCAGATTTTTAGCAAACTCAACCGCTTGCTTCATTTGTTTGTGCAGAGACTGAGCTTCCTGGATGGCGGAGTTAATTCTCTCGAGTCTCGTCACGCGTGTTGTCTCGAGTGACATAACAACCTCACGCTCGCGCTTCCGAATCACTTCGATCATTTGCTCAGCAGCTCGCGAGACCTCGTGTTTAGCTGTTGCGACATTATTTTCCAGTTCAGAAGCCGTGTCTTCAAATTCTCGAATCACTTCAGTAAGCTCGCTCACCCTTTCGTTGATCATTTCAGCGCCAGACATGATGTTGGTTTTCTCGTCATGAGCTGCTTTGTCGAGTAAAACGAACTCGTGTTTTCGGTGATCCGTGAGTGTGCAAATTTGGCAAACACAAGCTTGGCACGAAAAGCAGAAAAATCTGGTGATTTCTTTCTCGTGGAACAGTTGCGAGCAAAATGGCTGTCGCTTCAGATAGGCTTCGTAATCTTCTGTTTTAAACTCCTTAACTGGGGTAACTTTGTGTCCTTCGAACGACTCACTCAGCGTTTCGTGTGCATTGTAACAGTCTGGGCACATAAACCTTCCACAGTCAAAGCAATAGTACATCTGGGAGTTGTTTTTCTTGCATTGGGAACAAGTAATATTACTTTCGTTGCCAGTCCGTCGAACGGCAAGAAGACTCAGCAAACTGTTGTGGAAAAAACTGCTTGGTAAGCTTTTGAAACGATTTCCTTCGGGCAAATCAATTAGCGCTTGACACTCTGGACAACGGAACTTTCCTTGTCTGTGGCTGGCTCTTGCATGATCCTCCAAACACTGACAGCAAAATGTGTGTTGACATGATATAGTTTTGGGTTCGTTGAAGATGTCGAGACAAATCGAGCATTCAACATGTTTGTTGAGGTCTTTCAAAAGGGACTCCATCGCTAGGCGTCGCTTGTTTAGTGAAGCTTGCGAAACACAACTGCATCAAAGATTTTAATTTGGATTCATAGAAAACCAAATGAATTAACGTCATAGCTGTCTGCGTGCAGCCAATCAAATGTCTTGCCTCCGGTGTTTAACCTTAGCTTATCGTACCTGAGCTGAATTATGTTTTTACCTCAGGTTGTTCATCCGTGTCGTATTATTAACGCAGGATCCTTGATCCAATCGTTATTTTAAAGAATTTACTTAGCTAGTTACAAAGTAGTCAAATGCAATCGTTTCAAAAATTCTTGAGAGAGTTTTAATCTACAGTTGACTCCCGATAACTCGAACCCTCGCTGACTCAAACCCCCCGCTAACTCGAAGTAATTTTCATTTCCCTTCAGGCCATTTTCTATATAATTTTACCCTCGACAACTCGAACTTCCGATAACTCGAACCTTTTTCTTTTTCCCCTGAAGGTTCGAGTTATCGGGAGTCGACTGTAATTTAATGCCGTCATTCGCCTTGACATTGAGAAAACGGACTCTCCGATTTTCTTTTTAGGGTAGGGGGGCGGCTGTGACATAGGTTATAACCATCACGACTTGCAGTTTTAAAATAAGGCAATTAAATTACAAAAGGTTGGCTGAGCGCCATTGTAATCTAAGATTGATAATCTGTTGCGTGTAATAATAAATGGGTTATATTGGTGTCTGCTAGTAGCTTTGTTTTGACACGATCAAGCTATTTTTATACATGTAATAATATATATTCCAGCCGGTATTGAAGGTGATGAGACAGTCTGCTTCAATAAACACAGGCACGCAAGGCGTGCATATTACCTTGGCAGAAATTTACCGAATTTACTGAACAGCCTTGTTACTTATTGCTTGCATTTTTTTCAACAAGAACCAATAATCTGGTTGAGGGAAAGTAAATAAACACAAATTTAACTGAGCTTAAAACATAATTGAGCAGTTTTCAGCGTCACCACATTCGTCAGACTTGTACCAGAGAAACCGACTATTTTGTAGCTATCCGTTAGCTGCAATGAATATTAATTTGTAGGCATGTCATTAAAACACAATTTGTACTTAGACAATGGAAAGTTAAAGCGACACCATCCTTAAAAGTTGGTGATTTTGTGAATGGTACAGTTTTGCAGTTGAGTTTTATTATGGAGCCGAAAGGGGCGGTCTATACTCATATAATTATCATCTAAGCCCACGAGTGCTTAAGAACGACTCCTCGCCAAGACAGTTCAGCATTGATAGTATAAATCTACTGTGTTCTATCACAAAAGCTATTTTCCTATTGGCTACGCTACTCACTATCTATTCTGCTGTAAATAGCGGGTAGCTTAGTGGTGTGCAGTTCAGTGTTCGGCCGTTTTTTTGCGTTTTCGAAGTGTCTTTGAAGAGGATTCTAAAAATTAGAGAATAGAAAACTCGAACTCATAATTTAATAGCAGTTAACTGGATGATAGATTTTTCTGGATGCAATATGTCTCAACCTAATACGTGTTAGGCATTCACCGGAATATTAAACTGAAAACAACTGTTATAACCCTCTTTAACTTAAAGTATTTAAGTGGAGTTGCTCTGAATCAATTTAAATCACGCTCGCTCATTCTAAATCACTACTATTTTTTCTAAATGCTCGGAGACCGGCAGCAGAACAAAAACAGGTACGTCTAGCAGTGGTTTTACCTATTGCATACAAATAACGTTTAGCAGAAACTAGGGTGGAACAATAGCCTTTGGTTAGCGGAAAAATTATTTGTGTCAGTTTTGTCAGAATTAATTTTGACTTAAAGGCCTTGTTGCGTGAGTTTGAGAGCTGCAGTAAAGTTTATTAGGCAGTAAGCCTTAAATCTCATACTCTTTTTAATAACTTTAGTCTGCGTAACAGGAGAAATAACCTATCAACATAAAACACGATATTCAACTGCAGTGGCTATGAAGGAAGACCTTGCACGGGCGATTGAGATTGAATCCAGTTATTTGAGTCCTAGGGAAAAACAAACTCGTGTGACGCAAACGAAAACGAATATGAAGCGGGGATAAACTTGAAAGGAAAAATGAATAGAGTTAAGAAATAGATGGAAGCCGTTTTCCGTGTGCTCGCATCGGTATGAGCAGGCGATCGAGTGGGACGCGTTTGCGTCTCTCCCCAAGCCTATTCCGAGTTTGAATCTAAGATGGCGTTCACTTGATCAAACTGCGCTCGCTTGTATTGCAGGCTTCATAGACAGTTATATATAAACGGACGCGATTTCTCCTTCTTTGCCCGTCTACATAAAAAAAAAAGAGAATAAATAAATTGAAATGGTGGGGTATATAATTATAGAACTATTTTATTAAAAATACAGATGGCGGAATTGAATGCTAAATACAGTATTTCCATTACGTATAGTTGTTTTTTCTACATTGGGAACAAGTCATTTCACTTCCATCGCCACAACGTCGAACGGCAAGGAGACTCAACAAACTGTTGTGGAAAAAACTGGTCTGCAAAGTAGCGAAGCGGCTCTATTCGGGCAAATCGATCAGCGCTTGGCCGTCTGGACAACGGAACTTTCCTTGTCTGTGACTGGCTCTTGCATGATTCTCCAAACACTGACAGCAAAATGTGTGTAGACATGATATAGTTGTGGGTTGGTTGTAGGTGTCGAGACAAATCGAGCATTCAAGATGTTTCTTGAGGTTTTTCAAAAGCGACTCCATCGCTAGGCGGCGCTCTTTCAGTGAAGCTTGCGATATGCGGAACAAACCTGCCGGTCAAGGTTTTATTTTAGTTTCCGAGAAAAACGAATTAATTAACGTCATAACTGTCTGTTTGGATCCAATCAAATGTCAGAAAATTACTTACGTCAGGAATTTGTCATTTGGTGCACAATGCAAATGCAAAACCCTGACCTGATCGTGGCTTTCTTGGAATTTTTTCGCTGTTGGAGATTTGAGACTTAAGGTCCGGTAATACGGGCAACATTTTTCTTCAACTTGTCTCGCAACATTGCTGCATTGCAAGTTGAAACACATTGTTGCGCGTATTGCCACGTTTGTGACCAACTTGTCTCGCAGCAAAATACAGTGTTGCAAATTGAGGCAACATGTTGCGCAAAGTAGACTTGAGTTCTACTTTCTGCAACAAATTTTAGTTTTGCTGCTCGTATTACCACTGAAGCTACAACTTGTCTCGCAACAAATTTGATATTCAACGCTTGTGATTGGCTGTCGCGAAGCGCGGCAAATAAAAAAAACAAGGCGGACGTTGAAGGCGAGCCTGAATTCGAAGTAGACCAGTAACTCTCGGAAAGTCGTAACTTTGTCCTTTACAAAGACCTCGAGGGCTATCATAGTCTTTGGGACACCTCGTTTGTCCCTTCAAAACAAGCAGGAAAAAAGGCAAAAGGCTTGGA